TGGAAATGTGGGCAGCAGGTTTCTTCTCCTTCTGGGATGCCTGAATGTGCGAGGAACGCAGAACAGGGCAGAGAACAGAGACCAAATATCCCACAAGGCTGAGTATGTGGCACAGAGGCTTTCACCTCGGGCTCACTCGTTTTTGTGTACTCTAGGTCAGGGGACTGACAATATCAGTCGTGTGGTGAGTGGCCTAGAAGGAAGGGTTGGGTATTTTCTGGCTATTTTCTAGTGGATGTTTGCCCACCTCACAGCTGCTCTTGGTAGCAGCTCAGTGGGTGAGGGCTGAGCCTGAGGCGGCACAGACACGCCCCTGCCCTTTCCGCCCTGGCACTGCAGGGTTAAGGGACATTGCTAACGACGCTTCCACTGTCGCTGCCTGGGCCTGGGCCTGGGCCTGGGCCAGGGCCAGGGCCATCCCTCCCCCTACCCTGAGAGGCTGCTCTGTGGGGTGGGAGTGGAGCTGGAGCTGTGGGTAGAGGGGCTGCCAGCTCTCCCGACTGAACAGCCCGCACCCCACCGACTGCAATGGCCGGGAGAGCTGGCAGCGCAGGAGCAGGGCTGGGAGGGAGGAGCAGCCGGCCGGAGAGAAGCGGAGCTCTCAAAGGGAAAGCGCCACGTCTCTTCAGCCGCCCGCTGCGTGGCTGCCCTTGCCTGGTCCTTCAGCCCGTGAGGGCCGCTCAGCCACTGCTTGGTGCGCGGGGGTTGGGCACTGAGCCGAAGGAACGGACGGGGGATGGGGGTGGGGGCCGCTGGAGCCCAAAGGCAGCATGTAGTTGCATAGGAGGCTGAGAAATTTGGGGCACCATGGGGCAATTCACCTCCTCAGTGAATGCACAGAGGACTCCAATCCCCCCCGGGCTGTCAAACCAGTAGATGCACCGGTACATAAAAGCCGTGACCACGAGGGGGTCTGTGTGTAATTGTGCATGCAAATGACTACGCGGCCACATGGAAATGACTGTGCTTCACCACCACAGGGGCAGTTACTCAACTAGTGTTTTCATTCACAGCTGTGGGCCCTGCTCCCCCCCCCAGGACGGTGGGCCTTGAATGATTCCAAGTGTAGCAGCCTGGAGGTGTGGCTCCTAACCAGTCTGCTCTACGCCAGAGAGGTTCAGTGTTAGGGGTGCTCTGGTTGCGTGCCCCATTTTGACTGTCACTTACCGCTCCAGTAAAAACGAAGCCCCCATCTCACCTGCTCTCACGTGCTGCGTCTCATGACCGAGGACTTTTCTGTACAGGCTTTATAGCTGTGTTTCAATGCCGACCCATTGGACTCGTTTGAACTGTTTGGCTGTGTCTACACTGGCCACTTATTCCGGAAAAGCAACTGCTTTTCCGGAATAACTTGCCAGCTGTCTACACTGGCTGCTTGTTTTTCCGGAAAAGCAATGACGATCTACTGTAAAATTGTCAGTGTTTTTCCGGAAAAAGTATGCTGCTCCCGTTCGGGCAAAAGTCCTTTTCCAGAAAAACTGTTCCGGAAAAGGGCCAGTGTAGACAGCACAGTAGTCTTTTTCGCAAAAAAGCCCCGATCGCGAAAATGACGATCGGGGCTTTTTTGCGGAAAAGCGCGTCTACATTGGCCCCGGACGCTTTTCCGGAAAAAGTGCTTTTGCGGAAAAGCGTCCGTGCCAATCTAGACGCTCTGTTCCGAAAACGTTTCCAGTAAAAGCATTTTCGGAAAATCATGCCAGTCTAGACGTAGCCTAAGATTCCCACACAACACATGGATGTAAGTGATGTGAAGTTGAAACATGACCAAGGCAACATCAGTTTCCCCTCCCCACTTGCCATTAGCCCACCACTTGCCATTAGCCAGGAATTCCACCTCAATGCCTGCGCTTTGTAGCGGGCCAGGAAAGTCAACAAAATTAAGCCACGGGAGGGCAGAAATTCCAAGGGAAAGGGCCCCTGTCGTGGATAGGACAGACTGAGGCGATGGAGCCATGGGGCAGACTTCCGGTTGTTTAGTTGAACAGAAACTCTGCATTTCCACACTTCCCAACATCAGTTAAGCTGATGCGTGAGGTAGCGGGGAACCAAAGTCCAAACGCACTGTAGCAGGGAAGACACCGGTTGAATCCACCTCCAGTTACAGGCTGGTGGTGGCAGGAGTGGCTGCATTTGAAGAGACTAAGTTTTACGTAGAAACCAAAAAGGCTAGAATCTGTGTGAAGAGAGGAGGCTGCAGGGTCTTTCTCCTACCTTTGGCTAGCACTCTCCGTCACAGCCAGGCCTCCTGAGGTGCCATGCACAGGGAATGTCTTCAGTTGGATTCGGATCATCTTCATCCAAATCCTCCACCAATTGGGGATTCACTAGGCAATAGGCTATTGCCAGCAGAAATCAAGTCAGGCTCCTTGTGGGTGGAATTTGCCTCTTCCCACTTAAAGCCAGAGTAACGAGGAACTGAGCGTGTATGTCAGGGGGACTGGAGATGTAGAATTCAGACCCCTCTACTTGTAGGCAAGAAGTGAGACTGCAACACGGAAGGGGGCTTTGGGGTGATGGTCAGCACGGTCATAGACCCCCGTTACTTCTTTCCCCATCTACCTCATTGTCCTTCACATTAGCCTCTCTTTGCTGTGTCCAGGGGCATAGAGGCTTGGCTGTTCCTGTCCCTCAAGAGGCCACATATAGAATGTGAAAGGCCTTACCCTGATCTCCCACTCTGGCTTGCATTTTGCTCTCCCAAGTTGAATTTCAACCATGTGGCTCAGCCGAGTGGCGTGTTTTGGGTCATGAGATCGTAGCCCCAGCGAAAGCTGCAGGCCTGACAGCCCTGGAGGCTAGAGACCTCTCTCTCGTGAGAAGCTGCAGCACAATCCGTACCTGAACTAGCTTCCCCTTGCCCGAGCTGGAGGGATTGTCTCTGGGCACGAGTCGCCACGGCCCTGCATGACAGCTGGTTAGTGGAGTTGTTTCTGACGTGGTCACTTAGGAACTGGATTGAGATCACCTGACTCATTCAACAAATGACAGATTTTTTTGCGGGGGGGGGGGGGGGGGGGGAGGGAGATGATTTCTACATTAATTGCACTGGGAAGGGAGGAATAAGGGCATCATTTGGGTGGAGAGACGCATAGGACTACAAAGTCCAGGGGCGTGATGGACCAGATCACTAGATGGGCTAGACTGTCTTGACCCTACCATTTCACAGATGGTGGGGGGTTCCTGGTATGGAATGGACCATCCTTCAGCTGGTGCCATTTTAGGACTGTGCCGAGTAGCACCCCGTGTTGGTTTGAACAAACTCTTGCCTTGGACGGGGGCTCTAAGTGCACGCTCGGGTACGCTGCAGTGCACTCTGCCATGTGTTCAGCACTTCCAATTAAAACGTCTCTCTTGTTCTTTCCTGTGTTTCACCAAGGGCCTGAAATACAAAAACCCCTCCAGGAAAAAAAAAATACGGACCCCACTCCCATGATCCTAACCCGGGCACCCGAGTGCCCACCCCTGTGCTAGCAGAATTCACTCCCGAGAGCAAAATTAATTTAAAACTCCCTGCAAAGGTGGCATCCGGGAAGAGAGTCGGGCGATTATTGCTGAAAGTGGGCCCTTGACTTCACTGGGTGATTTGCCTGAGTAAGGACTGCAGGATTGGGCCAGTTAGGAGATTTTAAACAGGAAGCTCAAGGATATGGAGCAGGATTTTCGAGTCAGGCTATGCTGGGGAAGTTCTAGGTCACCTCCTTGCTCTGCTGATAGAGGAGTGACCTAGGGTGGTTCTGCACCAGCCCAGTAATACCCTGAAG